CCGCCCCTGTGGCTTCAAATTCGGGGCTGCGGACAAATGTGTTGAACTCCTCCGCATGGAAAAGAAATGCAACAAAGGCGACAAGCGAAGTCGTCCCTTTTCAACCAGCTCCGGCGAGCCTCCGAGACCGGCGCCGGGAGGATCCAACAGCCACGGCCTGGTTGCCAAAGGGCACGAAGAATCCAGTGACGGGGTGAGGGAACAATGAGCGGAAGCAAAACCAGGAGCGACATGAAAAGGTGAGAAAAGTTGCTTTGGAGGACGAAAAAATGGTAGGTGAGCGAAAGCAAAACCAGAGGCGACATGAAAAGGTGAGAAAAGTTGCTAAGGAGGACGAAAAAATGGTAGGTGAGCGGAAGCAAAACCAGGAGCGACATGAAAAGGTGAGAAAAAATGCTAAGGAGGACGAAAAATGGTAGGTGAGCGGAAGCAAAACCAGGAGAGACAGGAAAAGGTGAGAAAAAATGCTAAGGAGGACGAAAAAATGGTAGGTGAGCGGAAGCAAAACCAGGAGAGAGACGACAAAGGTGAGAAAAGTTGCCAAGGAGGACGAAAAAATGGTAGGTGAGCGGAAGCAAAACCAGGAGAGAGACGACAAAGGTGAGAAAAGTTGCCAAGGAGGACAAACAAATGGTAGGTGAGCGGAAGCAAAACCAGGAGCGAGATGCAAAGGTGAGACAAGTTGCCAAGGAGGACGAAAAAATGGTCGGATGTAATCACCAGGCAAGCGTTCAGAGGCTTGTGCTCACTCCCCGACAAAGTAAGGACGCAAAGTACGGATTCCGCCAACAAGGACCACCTCGCAATTGCGACTGAATCGCTCAGGGCTCTTGTTTGCACCTCTTCTGGCGACAACAAGCAAAGCCTCGCCTCCACTCGTTTGCTTTTTCCTCAACTTATGAAAGCTTTGGGGTCTCAGCTCAGGTAGGCTCTGGGGTGGTCCGGGGCGGACCTAAGGTAAGGTTCCACGAGGGTTCCACCAGGGTTCCACCATTTTTCCACGAGGTTCTGCGAGTGCTTCGGGGTGGTGCGAGCACTAGAAAGAGCACCGCATGCTGTTGGGGATATCACCTGAGCTTATCTTGGGACTGTTCAGGATAAGTCCTTCATTTCGGAGGTGGGAAAAGCAGCGTGTGATGTTCAAAACAATGGTTCTCATATTTCGCTGCGTGCGGGCAAGCGACAAATTACTTCAAACCTGACCAACTGACCATTCCGATTCTGCTGCCTGGCATTGATTGGGCGAAACGCAGTTCATTGAAATGAGAAACCTCCGAGATAGCTTTCATCATGGGTGACTCACTTTTACGGACGGGCACTGTTCATTCAACCCAATGGGATGTTTGTGCGGCGACCGGAGCTCAAAATCCCAGGTGACCGCGCCAATGCGCCGAGTGCGGGCGCAACGATGCCTGCGCATGGGCAGGCAGAGTGGCGCCTCTTGCACCTCGTGCCCTTTCGGGGGCTTCTCAAAGTAGGGATCCGCTTGGGTCTGTTTCCCTTTGACTACCAACCAAAAGGGGGGTCCGAAACCCATTTTGAGAAACGCCCTTGTGAAAAGCCATGATACCCAAACAAAAACCATGCCATCCGCTGATCCCCATGTGGACAAAGGCTTCCACTACAGACACCGAAGCGGGCCCAAAGTGCCGGCCAAGTTTCACTGACCCCGTCTATCACATTAGCCCATCTAAATCTAATCAACATTCACCCAGATCAACCCATACTGGCCTGTCGAACTGCGTGAGACTGCATGATGCTTGGGCATCGTGGCGTGTCGACTTTTTCTCGCCATCCCCCGAGAAACAAGCAAGTTGCCGGACGCCGATAGCTGATGCAATGCAAGGAGCCACCATCTTCCTGTAGGCCCGCATGATATCAAAATAAGACACGGGACAAAACAAGGAGGGTGTTGTGGACATGTTGGCTTCACAAGTCACATGAAAGACATCGCCAATGGGCGCAGACTTCAATCTGCAGTTCTTGGTTGACTTGGCATGTGTCCATGCTCCTGCAAATTGGTCTCACAAGGCCCAAGTTTCGTGGGGCGAAAAAAACCATAAAACATGGAGCTTGGAAAACCAAGAAAGAAGACTCGACAAACTTCAACCTTGGGAAAAGTGCGTCCCATCAAAACTGCCGGGGGGGGCTTTAAAGGGGACAATTTTTCTCAACCCCCCGTCCCCACTTTCCCCTCAGACAGTGTTCTCCTGCCTCGAGACTCAAGGCCTCGGGGGGCTGGTGGGCTGGTGAGCGAGTGTTAAGTGGGAAGGAATCTCGAACGACTACCTGACATGTTCCAATAGGGCTGTGGCTCAAATAAATGTACCAAATGGCCCCCTTGGTAAATGGAACCAAAGAGTTAACCTGTGTAACCTGGCTCCTTAATTTTGAGCCACAGCCATAGATGTACATAGTGCAGGTCAAAAGCGGAGCACGCAGCATTCGCATGCGGCTTGAGACAAGAACGCGTGTGTTACGTTGCACACATCTCATTCAAGTGGGGCACCCAGCAGAGATCATTAGCATTGGTGCTTCCACGACCATGGCATTCTGCGAGAAAGAACAGCACCCTTGAGACAGCAGCTCCAAGTTGTCATAGGGAGTCATCCATGCCCAACTGGTGCAGGATTCTGTACATCCACAGTACTACTGCAACTCATTGCCAGCCATCAAACAAAGGCATCAGGCTTCAGGAAAGAAGGCAGGCTTCAGGAAACAAAACCTGAGCGACGGATTCCGGACAGACCAAAGCTAACATGATTTTGGGCAAATGTGATAAATCCAAATCACTCAGCCCAGAATCCAAGCAGCCCCCTGCAGATGGTAACCCAACTTTGTCAGTATGACCTTTCACCCCAAAGCCGCCGCAGAAGCTCGCCCTTACCAGCAAACCGCCTATCGCTCTCGCGATAAGAAACTGCTTTCGAGTTTGAGGGCGCCGCTGGTGCCTCGCGGAAAAGCACCGGTGCCCGCGCCTGGGACGGGAAGGATCCACAGGCCTTTCTGCAGGCCAGAAGTTCCTCTCACAGGATCTCCACACAGCCTTTGGTCTTCGGAGATCCTCCCCTTCCTTTTGCCCGATTTGAACCAAAGGAGGGTCCTAATTTGGACATATTCCCAACACAATCAGCAGGCAAAACGAACTAAGAAGCCATGAAGCAAGCAAACTACATGTCCAACATACAGCACATGCAAGCTCACTCAAATTACCCAGCAGGGCAGGAGAGCATCTCCCGCAGATCGCACACACAAAATACGTCCACAACGCTGCCCACGCATCGCTGCGACGCTCGGGCATAGTCAAAGCCCGGCCTGTAGCCCTGGCCAACCGAAGGTCGGTGTTTGGCAGCCTGGCTCAGCTCACAACTTCGGGTGGGGGGCAGTCGGGCAGTGCATGCGCGGTTGGGGCTGGCTCCGGAGAGTCGGAGAGGTGCTACAAATTGATTAGCGTGAATCAGGGAAACTGATTTAGGGCAGCTCACCGTAACTTGCCCAAGCCAATGTGAGCGCCAACTGTCGAGTGCATGTGTGCTCATCCCGGTTGTTTGTTTCCTAAGGCTCATGGCTCATGGTATCCGGTCTGACCCCTACTGCCCTGTTCCAGAACGAAC